AAAAAAAAAAAACTTAAATGAATTATATTAAAAAGTTAACTTCATTTAATTAACTTGCACTAATTATACCGTCCATGCAAAGAAAAAAAAAACACAATTATATTTATGCAATTAAAAAAAGTGTATGCTACAACATTGGATATTAATCCATACATAATAGGTACTCACTTAATAAATCTTCACCACATCATTTGTTAGAATAAAAAACTTAATAACGGAAAAAAAAAAAAAAATTGGAACTATGTTTACTTGAAAGACTATCAACAAGTGTACAAATTTTTAAATTTATTTTCAAATTGAAACTTTAAATTCGTACTCAAATGGAATTGAATAATATAATTTAATTAGAAATGTAGGAGTTTCTTAGAAAAAAAACTATCAACCAATTTGCATTGATTTTCAAAAACACATAAATACTGATTTCTAAAATTATGGGGATTGTTTATTTGATATAGATTATGATCACGTGTACAGATTTTAAAACCATCATGAAATTCAAATTGGAATAATATGATTTAATTAGAATTGTAGGAGTTTGTTAAGAACAAAAACTCTCTGTGAGTTTGCATTGATTTTCAAAAACAAATAAATACGGATTTCTTTTATAAAGAAATCATTTATTCGTACTTCATCATAAATCTCAAAGATGTGTACTTTGTTGATACGTGTTTGAATAAAAATCTTAATAACAACGAGATTTTAAAATTATTACATAAAATTGATAAATGAAGTATATGCAGCGTAGAATTGTTAAGTTTCCGTTTATTTATACATTTGAATACAAATTTTGATAATGAGAATTTAAAATTATTATATAAAATTGATAAATGAAGCATATGCATAAAGCATGGAGTTATTAAGCCTCCGTTTATTTTATACTCAAATTGATGACGAAATAATTTTCGGTATCATCTCAATATTTATTTTATATATAATATGTAAATCTTCTCTCAATTTTAATATTTTAGACATAAATTTTTTTATGTTCTTTATATAAGATAATTTTATATTGTTACAATAGACTATATAAAGTAAATTTTATCACATGTAACCCCACATCTTTAATTTATAATTATAGTTAATATTGTTTATCCTAATATTTAATTTATAATTAATATTAGTATTATCATTATTTTTTTTGGTACAATGAAAGAGGCCATAAGCCTATATTAGGACTCGACGGGGATACGATACTCCAATAATATCATGCTCTAACCAAACTTCTAGAACCGAAGGCGAGGAACCTACTCGCTGAAGGTTGGGATTATTAGTATTATTTACCTGTGCATATCACGGGCTACACACTAGTTTATTTAATATGCCTAATATTTATTTATTGGTTGTGCATAATTAATTATTTAATATGCATGTAATTAATTTATTGTGATCTGTCGCTAGGTAATTAATTATGGTACATGTATATTTATAGAAAAATCCTCTGTTTTAAAATATTAAGTGGGATAAGGCTTTCTTAAAATTGATTGTTTGAAAAACCTAAGGTCTCCATTACCGGTTTGTCGGTAATGCAATTAATTTGCATGTCGGCTTTATGCACCTTCCTCCACAATGGATGAATTAATTATGGTTCACCACGACGAACTTCATTTGTGATGGTGGGGTCATAATCTTTATAATGGACTTAGGTGGGTTTACTTAGAATATGATTAATATTAGTTCTTCCCATAGGAGTAGTTGTGTTTTATTCATATAGCCAAAAGAACTTAATATTGATTTCGTCCATCATGAATTTCGTTTGACTTATGGTAATTAATGAGTTTTAAACCCTTCTCTTGCAAATCTTGAAAATCTTAAATGTCCACACTAACGTGGCTTGTGAGATTCTCAGTGTTTTGAAATGTTGGTGAATTTAAATAAAGGATCAATATTTAAGTTTAAATTTAAAGTTTGACTACTATTTTTCATGATTCTCATCAATATTCTAAAAAATTTCAATCTGTTATTCTCAAAGAAAATTAATTACTTGTTCAAAAGTGACTAAAAAATAGAATTGGATAGTATCCTAAATTGTTAGGAATTACAAGTCGAAGGGCGAGTGTATCCGATTTAAGCAAAAATGGACATAGAATGATTAATTGTCCTATCCTTAAGACAAAAAAGTTAAATCTTATTTACTAGAAAGGAGAACCATTTTAGTGGTGTTATCTATCAGTACCTGGTGAATCGATACAAAACCACTAATTATGTAAAAGAGGTTCCAGGAAACCAATTGACTGAGTGATATGTTGATTACCATCTTGGAATGAGTTTTTTCGCTATGAAAGTGGTAGCTATTGCAGTGGGACTATTCTATTGAGTTGAATTTTGATTTTGAGAAATTATCTTTACGTGGAATGTTTTTATAAAGAATTCACTTTCAGTTTTTAAATTCTGTATGAATATTACGTTTTATTTTATGGCAAGTTTGTTATTTTGAAAATAAAACATTTTCTCCATTTGGTGCGTTGGTAGATGATTTGTGTACGCAAGCCGCAAGGAACCAAAATATCCCATAGTGCATTAAATAGAATTAGTAACACAACGACTAAGACCAATAAGAGAAAAAAATCTTTCAGTAAATGAGCCATACATATGTTTGGCATTAGTGCTCGGTAATTTTAGCTTTAATATGTTTCAAGGGTAGATAGCTGATGGACTTATAGGTCTATTAGTGGATTAAACTAAAACGACAAAAATGCTTTTTTTAAGTCTAAGGGGTAAAAAAGCTAAATAAATATTAGGATTGGTTCGGTCCAATTTGTGCGGTCCAATGACTTTCCGGACAATAGGTAATTTCAAATATTTTGTCCTTTTTTTCAAAAAATTTATTCGAAACAGGGTACATTTAGTGACGTTCCATAAGCATGAGTGTTTCAAGGGAGTACAATGGCAGTTTTCGAGAAATGTCGAGGTTAATGTGTCAATGGCACTGCGATCGTAAACATGATGACTAATACTTTTTGGAAAAATCTAGAAGTTACTTATCATAATTGTAGTGACTAATACGTCGAGATAATGTATCAATGGCGCTGGGATTCAATTCCAGTGGGTTGCACCGAGTTCACCCTAACAGAACGGTGTAGCAGAATGAATGAAAAGGTCCCTTATGTAGGATGGTTGTGTCAATGATGTGTTACAAGAATTTTCAGTTTTTGTTTTGGAGTTGTGCAAATAGCGATGCAAGTTCTGAACATGGTTCCATTCAAATCAGTAGCTTCTACTTCGATTGAATTGTGGATAGATCGTAGGCCCAATTTGGAACATATTTGAGTTTTGAGTTAGTTCAACACACGTTATGGGATACTCCATAGCAACGAAAGATGATTTATTTTATAGTACTAAAAATCAGATGGCCCTGGAGTACCAGAATTGTCAATCTGCATACCCTCAGTGACCTCTGTTTTCTTAGTTCTAGTTTTTTCTGGTGAAAGAAAACTTCTTCCTGTGGACAATTCTTTCCCCAGTGGAAAAAGGGTGGATTTCCACATCCACAAGATTTGATTCAATGTGTAGAGTGACAACTGTATTAGGTTTCTCCCCAATAGTAATAGGTTGTCTTGAAGTTCTAGTGCCCTCTTGATGAGTTAAGGATAATACTAAAGACTCCTTAGGTTGGACTGACTCTTTTCCTTTACCAGTTAAAGAATCTTGGTTATTAGTTGCAGCACAAGAACTCTTTTCTTTTAAGACACTTTTAACCGTGGTTTGGGGATGAGAATCAAGGTTGACTCCATACTATCTTGACCCCCAAATTTAGACTCTAGGGGCTCGGAGAATCACTAGAGAAGCACTATTAGTTTTCAACCATCCCCCAAATTGACCATGATTAAGCAAGTTACTATTAATATCATCTTTTTTCAGAGAGTAACTAATGCGGTAACCGTGCGATGCACGAGCTAGTATTATTAAAGGAAGCATTTAGATTTGGATACTTAGATGATTGGTGAGAACATAAAACAGATGTATTGGAATATAACAAAATGTTAATTATATATTATTAAATGCCTCCTTGTACACAACATTACTTCTTTTGTTTTTTGTAAACGGTATTTGAGGTATAAAAAAAGATATGCACAATAATTTTGTTTGAGTATAATAGGATAGAATTTATAAGTTATGATATGCACAAAAAAATCACAATGAAATAAGTTAATAAATATGACTTACGTCACAAAATCACTTTGAAAAATATACGATAACATTTATTCTAATGTTCAAATTGCATTTACTATACGCACAACCAATTTTTTAAAAATAGTTCGAACATGTTATGTGAATAAATCCGATAAATCAAAATTAAACGAGATGTATTAGGAAATATTTTTCGAAATTGGCTGAAAAAAAAATACAAACCAATTTGTACAGATTTTTTTGCAAAATAGTATCTTTCAAATATTAATCNTTCAAATTTTAGTTGCAGAAAAAAATGGAATAAAAATTCCCAAAAAAAAAAAAAAAAAAAGAATACTGCACAAATAAAAATGGCGTGTAATTTTGTTAAAAGCATAAACAAAAAGTTCAAAATGAATTAATTATGATTTTACTACAATATTTAGTAAATAGGTAAGCTTGTTATATCGTAAAATAGATTTCATATCATGTAAAATTGTATTGTCACACGTGTATACAAAAATGAGTTTCATATCATGTAAAATTGTATTATTGCATTATCATAATGAAATATTGATATTGATCGTTTTGTAATTGAAGCCGTGTGTTATTTTGTATTAAAAAAAAATGTCAAACAAAACATTTATAATGAGTTTCATAGCAAGTAAACTTTCAATATTTTCAATTTTAGATATTGAATTTGAAATCTAACCAAATCCTTCCTCGTAGGAAGTTTAAATTTAAATATATTTGTTCACCCACGTGCTTAATAAATCTATAATTATAGTTCAGATTATGTGTATTTGAAAGGAATAAATTCCTTCATTTAAGGATAAATTTCATTAATCTATCCAAATTTATATTCATATCGACAATTTAAATTTTGAATTTGAATAGAACACGAAATATCCTTTATTAAATAAAGTAGACTCCACTCTTAGATTTGGTATTTTTTCAAAATAAAAAAATCATTAATTTAAGCAATCATATGTGATAAATATATCTAAGTCTATATACATAGTGTCTCACCAATTTATAATTAATGTATCCATGTTTTATTTTTTGTTAAAAATAACTGCCAAAAAAAATAACATCACGTATCACTAATTTATAGTTAATGTAGCCGTATTTTATTTTTCGTTAAAAATAATTGCCAAAAAAAAATTGATTTAGAGCAATCAAAACAAAACTGCACAATTAGATAGTTAGAAAAACATTTTTATCTATTTCTTTTATATTTTATTAATAAATTCGCAGTTATTTATTTTTTTTTTTAAAAAATAAAAGTTTCCAATCAAAACAATTATATTAGCCATTTTTCTGTTAGAAAGAAGTTTTTGATTTTTTTGAAGATATATAAGTATAATAAAAAAATAAAAAGTTGTCAATCAAAACAATTGTATAAGCCATTTTTATGTTAAAAAAAAAGTTTTCGATTTTCTGAAAATACATAAGTATATTTTTATTATTTAATCAGCCAATTTTTTTTTTTATTAAAAAATATAAATTGCCAAATAATTAAAGTCTATTAGCAGATTTTTTTTTTTAGTTTCAGATTTTGTGAATTTAAAAAAGGGACTACCCGATTATGTGAAATCTATAACAACCTCCACATGTGAAGGACAACAATAATTGTTGTGCGTGTTAAAAGAAAAAAAAATTGCTATTAATGGCAAGTCATTAATGCTAACCAACTTTGACCATTAGTTTGACCTGCCATTTTTGAAAAATGGTAATTCTTATTATATATATATATAGATTTCTTTCAACATGACCTATTTTACCACAATAAAAGCAAAAGTTCTGGAGGTTCTCATACCTGAATCCATTTGGATTCTGACTCCAGTTTGACGTGAGTTCCCCTTGGAATAGTATCCTTGACCTTGTATTCAATCAACACTTTCATAACTTGTCCATTTAAATCTCCTGCTCCTGGAATTTGGCAATTCAAAGGTTTGCTAATTATCCTGCCAATCTTTAAACCTGTTTCAGTAGAAATCCAATGTAAAGTTAGATTAAGAATATGGACCATATTTTAATCACTTCCTCCTCAGCAGAGAACTCAACAGTTTCATGATTCCACAATTTTAAAATGATATACTGCCCATCAAAGGACCGAATTTTTCTTTTAAGATTTTTTCCCTATCTTTTTCAGATTCAAAGAGAAATTGGAAAACATTATTTCTTAGATTCATAATAGTTAAAGGCTTTCTCGTAGACCAAATTGCCCCTAAAGCGGCCTTCAATCCAATTGCCTTCTTATCCCCAAGAATTACCTATTAGAGTAAGCTGACATTCTCTAACACAGTGTTTGGTTCGGGGAAAACTGAGGGGAGGGGAAGGGAGGGGAAAGAATTTTATAATTTTTCCTTATTTGGTTCAATTTTTTGTAGGGGAAAGGACTGGTATTATCCTTTCAAAGCCCTCCTCCAAGGGAGAATCTCCTCCCCTCCAAAAGTAAGGGAATTTGGAAGGGAGAAAAAATTTTAATACATAAAATTATTATATTATCCTTTATGTGTGAATTATTTTATTGTTTTGTTTCTTACATCATTAAAGATATATTTATCATTCTAATATTATTTTCCCTTCCCTTTTATTATTTAACCAAACAAGGTTTATCATTTTTCCTCCACTCCCTCTTATAAAATCCCTCCAAAGTCCAAACAAAGTAAAATTATTTTAGATCACCTCTCCTTCCTTCCATTAAAATCTCTCCCCTCCACTCCACACTTAACCAAACATAGCCTAAGGCTGGCAGCTATATCCACCTCGTAGAGTTCAACTCCCAACTCCTTATCAGAGAGTTTGAACTTGGAAAGCTTCTCAGTTATGTCCCGAGACATACTAAACCCTAACCGGACAGCGAGCAGAGCAAAATAGGGCCGAAACCAAAAGCAAACACAAATTGAAATCAATGCAAATCAATGCCAAACACAAGATAGGAAACTAGGAGCTACGAACAATAAAGAAGAAACCCGCCCAACACCAACAAAACCGCACACCACAGCAAAACAGAAACACAGGACTCCGAGATCCACAAGAGAACACGGGGAGGAAAACGTAGGGGAAATCGTAAGATGAACAGAATATACAAATGGAACTCGCAAAAATCAGGAGTGAGAAAAGGAAACCCTAGCCTGAGGGACTTCAGAAAAAATTGGTCGATTTTTTGGTAACTTTACAAGCTTTTGTAGTTTAGTTTGCTTGTCAATTCATTTTGCTGGCCTTATGAGGTAGCCTCACAATTCGTTGCCATCTTTTTCTCTTGGAAAACTGTTGTCTTGGTTCATCCTTGTTTTGTACAATTCTTGCAATAGTTATGAGTAATTGTTATGATAATTTGGTTATTTATTTATTTCTCATTTAATTGAAGGATATACTCCATATAATGTCAGGGAAGAGATTTAATTAAGCTTATTTGTTGTGAATTATTTCCAAGATCATATAACAGTGGCCAGAGTGAAGAATCACCTCACATTTCAGACAGTGTTAAAGTTATAATGGACTACTCTTCGAGTAAAGGGAAAGACATTGACCATTCAGAATTGCCAAGTAGTTTGGTGGAAGGTATGGCCTCAGGATCAACTCTGGAAGACGAAATCGATAGTATTACCAGACAAATAAATTTAGACGAAATTAGTGGATGGCACAACAGTCCCAACAGCGTACCTGATCAGATTTTTCCCTCTTTTGCCTTGTCCCCTACAACAGGGGCATCCACAAGCTTCTCACCCTTTAATGAGTTGAACTTCACGCATAATTACGATCCTGAAACTTCCATATCAGATGATAACATCACAGGAAGCACATTTATTGGTGGAGATGAAGTGATGTTTCAAGATCAATTGGGCAGTGAAGTGCCGTTTTCCACGTCTCTTTCTAGTGATGGGTTTGGCTTGAAGGAGGAGGGTGATGAGAGCTTAGGTCAGCAAGGTTCTGAAAGCATTTATGCCGTGATTCCGAGAGCACCTACTATTTGGTCACTGGCTGCGAGGATGCTCACTGCATTTAATCTATTCAAGCAATTGTCTGGAGAGGGCATCTTAGCTCAAGTGTGGGTCCCGGTACGTATGGGTGATTGTTATGTCTTGAGCACTTGCGAACAACCTTACTTGCCCGACCAAATGCTTTTAGGGTATCGTGAAGTGTCACGATTGTTTACTTTTGCCTTGGAACGAAGACCTGGTAATTTTCTTGGGCTCCCAGGTCGTGTATTTTCCTCAAAGGTTCCGGAGTGGACCACAAACGTCATGTACTATGACAAGCGCGAGTTTTTACGAGTAGAACATGCCCTCGCTCATGAAGTTCGGGGATCTATTGCATTGCCCGTTTTTGAGGATGATGGTTCGCCTAAAAGGTCATGTTGCGCGGTGTTGGAACTTGTCACCATGAAGGATAAGTCTGATTTCGATCTGGAGATGGAAAACGTGTGTCGTGCGCTAGAGGTCAGCTTTTTTCGGCTTATGCCTATCTTGTTTTTAATTCATTAGTGTGCTTAACCCGTGCATATGCCATGATGAGAAAACTGCATTTCTAGAAAGGTAATTATGCATGATATCTAAGTAAAAGTTACCCAAATAAATTATAATTAATATATATTTCCTCGTATGCTACATTTTTTTCACCGCTTATGTGTAGTGCTTCATCTGTGTATATTTTAAAACCATTTCAATTATGCATACTAACCAAAATTTTCATGTATAGCGAGACATATGACAGTGATTAATCATTGGTTTTATTTCCACCAATGGACTATTGGTATGATGGCCGCATGAGATCTTTTAGGCCCAACGCGGTGGCATCCGACCGGACGCCACTTCAAGCTTTTGCTCGTGTCTGTGAGTGGTCATTTAGACAAGTTAATTAATTATATTTTTGCTATTAAGTTTGAATAACATCAAATATTAAAACATTTTGTAATCTGTTAATAAGTGGAACATCTCTAATAATATGGCAGACATATTGTGAGATTTGATGAGTAGATCAAGTTTCTTTTTGAATTATTTTATAAAACTATTAGACGATTATTAGATTAATATAAAGTACGAAGAAATATTTATATAACTTTTGAATGTACTAAAATACGTGGCAACCTATATTCATGTACATGGAGGTTTTTGGAAGTGAAAATAAATTATCCATGTGGATTTGAGGTTTATGTATAACTTTCTATAGTCATGTTTTGTAATTCAGGGTTAGTCAAAATAAATTCAATATGGTCATTAACAATCATATTGATCCGCCAATTCTTCACTCAATGTAAACTTGTTCAGTAATAAGTTTTGGTAACATGGCTGTAATGTAATGTGTTATGTAGATATAGATGTAGATTCTTATTTTATTTTTATGTTCTTTCTACCTCCAAGTTGCTTGAACTTTTGCAGGCCGTAAAGTTAAGGAGCACTTTACCCCCGAGGCTTCGTCCCCAGGTATTTGTCGAACAATTTACTTGTTATCTCAATTGTTTTGATTTCCCCCTCAAGTCTCTGAATGATTTTCTAAATAAAAAAAAAATGCTAACTTACAGAGCTTCTCTGCAAATCAAAGAGCTGCGTTAGCTGAGATTTATGATGTTCTAAGTAGTGTTTGCCATGCGCATAATCTGCCTCTTGCACTCACATGGATTTCATGTAGTTACAGAGAGGATTGCGGTGTGGAAACTATAAAGGTACTGGCTCGAGGGTGTTTTAATAGTTCGAAGGAGAAATGTGTGTTGTGTGTAGAGGATAGTGCGTGTTATGTGAATGACGAAGATGTGAAAGGTTTTATGCATGCATGTGTGGGACGTTGTCTAGAAGAAGGACAAGGTGTAGCTGGAAAAGCCCTTCGATCAAATCAGCCTTTCTTCAATCCAGATGTGAAGCAATATGATATCAATGACTATCCACTTGTTCATCATGCCCGTAAGTTTGGCCTAAATGCTGCTGTTGCAATTAGGCTTAGAAGTAGGTATACCGCTGATAATGATTATGTGATAGAGTTTTTCCTTCCTGTGAATGTGAGAGGGAGTGCAGAACGAGTCTTGCTTAATAATATCTCGAGTACCATGCACAGGGTTTGTAAGAGTTTGAGAAAAGTGTCAGATGATGAATTGCATGGTCATGTGAATTTACAGGATGTGGAAATGAGAAGAACGCCAGTGTCATTACCCGAACAATCATACTTTAGTGGAAAGTTAGACTATGTTCTTCCTGTTAACCAAAATTTATCTGAATCATCGACTTCAAGTGTGACAGCTAATGTTTCTCACCAACAGGTACCACAACTTTTCTTCTCTCACTATGATGTGTATTGTTTCTGTTCTGGTTAGCAAGCATATTCACTGGTATGATTTTCTTGATAGTCTAAATGTTGAAAGTGTGTGTCATTTGTTTGTAAATGAATTTCAATCCCAACTTAAATGCTTGCTT